ACCCAGCTGTACATTTGCAGCTAGGAAAAGACACTCAAAAGTGAAAGCTTCTGAAAGACCTTTGGATAAAGAGGAAGTGAGAGAGAAACTAAGAAAGAGGAGAGGAGAGAAGAGATGGAGCACCCTCCTATCCCTCCCTTCCCCCCCATCACCCCCAGGACCCACCAGGCCCAGGCTCCCACTCTGGTCACATCACTTCCCAGCAGAGTGGGGCTGGCGGCCTCATCTCCCCAGAGCAGCTGCTAGAGGTCCGGGGAGCAATGATGTGGGGCTGCACTGCAATCACCATCACCCCCTGGGAGAGCTGGGCAGCGAGTCCCCACTCAGCCACCAGAGGAGACACCAACGTTGTCCCACCTTCCCACCAGTGCGGTACAGTGAGGGAAAAGCGGGTGACTGCACCTCCCCTGCCCCCAGGCTGTCCAGTCCCCAAAGCAGCAAGCAGCCCAGGCCCCTAAAGCCCTCGCCACTCCCTCCTTTTAGAAGGCCGGCCCAGGTCCCAGCTTGCTCTCCCCAATGCCCCAGTCCCCCAAAGTGCCCCATGAAAAAGCCGAGCTGGAACAAGGCTGAGTTTAATTTGCTTTGAGTTTGCTAATTGAGGGGGAGGACGGTTCATTTCTCCCCGGCGCTCGCCCAAGGCGCGCGTCGGTGCGCTCCGGGCTTGACACGCACACAAAGACTCCAGGCAGCGTGGGCAGCGAGGCGGACAAAGACCACCGCGGCCTCGGCTATCCAGGAGAAATCAGCCGGGCCGCGCCTTGTGCCGGGCCCCGCACCAACGCGCGAGGCCCTCCTCGGTTTTGTCCAGGGGGACGTTTTAAAACAAAAGCCTCGACCTCTTTGCGCCTCCCAGGAAAAGTGTTACAACTTAATCTGCCCCAAAACGTTACTGTTTGTCGGGAACTTTGACCCCGCCCTGCAGCTCCACGTACAGTAGCGCCTACTGTAGCCCTAAGCCCCCTCCCCGACCCCAGCAGGCCAGAGCCAGGCCCGCCTCCGAGCCCCGTGGCGCCGCAAGGATCTGTCCCTCGAGGCAGCCCTTCTCCGCAGCCTTCAGCTCTGTTTCGCTGATTTAGGGACGCACCTAGGATGTCTGGCCTCTGCCTTCTGATTCTCTGATCCCCTCAAGGGGAGAAACCGGAGCCGCCTGTGTGTACCTTGGGTCTGCTGTGGCACAGAACCTGCGCTTAACTCACTTGGAGACACCTCCAGATTCGAACCTCATGCATCCCCTCCGCCACCACCCCTCACCTCCTGCCTCTCCTTCTTCCAGTACTCAGCCGAGTCCCCAGACTTTAACTGAAAGTGTCACCAAAAGTGCACAGGTGCCTTAGCCAGGAACTGTAAGTCATGCCCAGTGGACAGAAGGAGATACTCAGCCTGTCTCCCCAGAGCCTGGGGTAGGTCGGCTCCTGCAGTCCCTTGCTGGAGCCCAGGGAAGCCAGGCGCCTCCAAACTTATACATTATGAACTCCAGCGTGGAGCCAGCTCCCCGGCTCTTCGCCAAAGGCCCTCTCCGAGCTCCGCACTTGTGTGCTAGCTGCGTGGGGCCAGAGTTGTGGGCTGGGTTCGCAGGGTGCACGCCTCGCTCACCTGAGTTTCCGTGAGGCTGAGGCTGTGCGCCAGCTGCTTCCTCTCGGCGCCCACCACGTAGTGGTTCTTCTCGAAGGCGTGTTCCAGCCTCAGAAGCTGGGACGGGGAAAAGGCGGTTCGGATCCGCTTCGGCTTTCGGGCCAGCGCGTTGTGCAAAAGGAAGCTCTCCGGGCTTGTGTCGTTCCCTGCCAGGGACATAGCAGAAGTCCCGTTAGCGGGGCCGTCCTGGCCCGGGCCTCGCGCTTCTCCCGAGCCGGGCTGGTGGGGCACAGCGCTCATGGCCTTCGCGCAGCCGATGCCACACGGCCCGTGGGGACCCGGGGGTGCGGGAGGAGGACGACGGCCCAGCCTCCCTGCGCGGAACACCGAGCCTCTACCTGTGCGGCACCCACCCAGCAGCTGCCTGGCGGGCCAAGTCCCCAGGCTCCTGACCTCCGCGGGCTTTGCAGCCGCCCTGGCGCCACGGTCCTCACCACCTCGGTGCCGCGCGCTCCGGGCAGAGGAGGTGCAGCAGATCCAGGCCCGAAACTTTCTCCTCTTTCTACCCTCGGGGAACTTTAACCCTTGGGGGGGGGGGCCGCTATCCAGAGTTTTCTCGGGGACTTAATTTTAAATTATTTAAGGCTCTTCCCCTCCGGGAAAGTGCAGCAACCGGGCGCGTGCTTGCCGCCCGGCCGGGACCGAAATTTCGCCGGCGGGTGCGCGGGTTTGCCGGGGCCACCGCGGCCCGAGGACCCGGCTTCCTCACTGCCCCGCTCCAGAGAACTAGCAGACACCGGCGAAGGGATCGAAACCCGGGGCTGCCGAGCCGCGGGCGCCCTATGGGACTGTCCGCGGTCCCAGAAGATCCCGGCTACTTCGGGCCTGCTGGGGGCACCAAGAGCAAAGCCGGCAGAGAAGGAGGAGAGGAGCCATAAACTTTGTGGGCAGAGCTAGAGTAGTTTCGGGTTCACTCTGGAGGGTGGCTAATCGATTCGCTAAAAACCCAAAGAAAAACAAACGGACAGTTTAGGCGAGAACCGAGGCAAATCCGGCCCCAAAATTAGGACGAAAGGTCGTTTTTGGTTTTGTTTTGTTTTGTATGTAATTGGGGGGTGGAAGTGGCATCTCCCGGATTCTAGGCTCTGGCAGGAACGCAAAGGGTTAATGGATGGACCAGCCGCGGAGTATTGATCGGCTGTCGCGGGGAGGAAGGTCTCTTCCCGGGGCTCCGACCGCTAAACTAATTACTCTTCCCCTTTTATGGAGTTTTAACTTTTCTCCTACCTCCACCCAGAGAAAGAATAAATAAAAATTTTTAAAAAAAAAAATAGCAGGAAGGGAAAACACCCAAACAGATCTTTTTGTCCAGCCCGTCTCCCGATCCGGTTCGTTTCTTTTAAAACAAAAACAAAATCAAAAACAAAACCCAGAGCGAACCCGCCTCCCCGCCGCGGACGCCCCGCGCCGCGTTCGAGCAGGTCTCCGCGAGGGTGCCGAGCCGCCGAGGTCACTACCCGCGGGGGTTCCAGGGCCCTCCCCGGGCCGCCAAAGAAAGGGGGGAGAAGAACCCCCTTAGACTTCGCCCTGTGGGCGCGGGGGTCTCCTCGCCGCCCGAAGAGGGTCGGAAGCTGAGAAGTCGCAGGGCTGGGCTTGAAGGCGCGAGGAGTGGGTGACACACAGGGTCCTGCGCAGGCGACGGCGAACCTGGCGGCCGGGCCGGGGCCGTGGCCGTGCGCCCTCGGCGCGAGGGCAGCCGGGGCGCCGCGGAGGAGGCGGAGAGCCTGGGTACCCCGCGGGCTCCGGGACTGCGCGGAGGCCGGCGCTCCGGGAAGGCTGCCCAGCCTGTCCCCAACGCGAGGGCGCCCCGGGGACAACTTCTCCGTCTGCGCCCCCTCTCTAAGGGGTCCAGCGGCCCCAGGCCGGCCCCCCAGCGCGGCCGCAGCCCCGGAGACCCGGGCACCCGCCCCGCGCCGGGCCCCTCGCCGCCCAGCTCCCGCACCGGGGCGCGCGGGCCCGCGAGCTGCAGGCGCCTCCTCCCAGGCCTTGCCAAGCGCCCACCCGGCGCAGGCCGAGGGCAGCGCAGGACGCGGCGCGCTGCAGCCCCGCGACGTGGCACGTACCTTGGAAGCGATGGCCCAGATACCGGTAGCGGTGGATGAGCCAGGGGTAGAAGGTGGACGGGTCCCGCTGCTGCGAGGCGAAGAGGGGGTGTGGCGAGTGCGAGGAGGGCAGGGGGTGGGCGGCCAGGGCGTGCGGCGGCGGCACCGGGTGCACGGGCACCGCGGGGTTGGGCGGGTGCGAGACCGCCTCGGCGAACACCAAGTCCGGGTTGGAGTAGACGCCCCTGCCGGCGGCGGCGGCGGCGGCGGCCGAGTGGAAGCCGTTGAGGAACGGGTTTATGGGGCTGGAGTTGGCGTAGCTGAGCGCCGCGGGACGGATGGGGTCCTCGGAGCGCGAGGCGGGCAGGGGACTGTCCTTGGCCACCAGCGACTCGATGGTGAAGCAGCGCTTGGGCGCCGGCTGGAACATGCTGCGCCGAGGAGCGGGCGCCCGAGGCTCCCGGCTCCCGGCGACCGACCGCGGCGCGCTGCCTCCGCCGCCCGCTGCCCGCGGCGAGCACGGACGGGAATTGGGGACTTGTTTGTTTGGGGTGGGGGTGGGGGGAGGAAAGGAAGAAAGAAAGGAAAGGAAAAGGAAAGGAGGGGGGAGGGGGGAGGGAGAGGAGGCAACGCCGAGGATCCCGAGAATCTTGCACCAAACGCGCCCAACCTGGAGAGAGGGGGGAAAAAAATCCTTCCAGAAGAATTTGCAGGCGCGGATTGGGGTAATTTTTTTCTTTTTTTTCTTTTTTTTTTTTTTTTGGCGAGATGGCGTGGGGGGATCGGAGTTACAGGCAGGGAGGAGGGGGGGAAAGTTTCTCGGGGGAGGCAAAAAAAAAAAAGTTTTCTCTCCTCTGCAAAAGGCGGGCAGGGCGCCCTAAGTCCAAGGACAATCCATGGAAGTGTTCGCTTCTTCACAAGTTGTGCAAACGATTTGTTAGTTCATGAGCCTAATTAGTGCGGGGATCACATAAACAGCTTCCTCCGAAGCCTGGTAAATGGCTTGATGATTGGTCGCTATTACTCGCCCTGAGGTGGAAGGGGGGAGACTCTTTAAAGTGCGTCAGAGGGAGGCGAGCGCCTGGGAACCCGGAGGCCTGGATCCCGGCCGAGAGTGGAACGGAGTCGGCGCCGCGGCCTCGGCCGAGCCTCCCGCGCCCGCCAGGCCGCCCGCTCGCCGCGCCTTCGCCCCGCGCTCCTGGCCCGCTCGCTCCGCGGCGCCCCTGCGGCTTCGCCTCCTCCTCTTTCGCCTCCTCCTCCTCCTCCTCCTCCTCCGGCCTCCTCTCCTCTCCTCCTCCTCCTCCTCCTCCTCCTCCTCTTCCTCCCTCTTCTCCTCCTCCTCTCCTTCCTCCTCCTCTTTCCCCACCTCCTCCCCCTCTGCCACCGCCTCCTCCTTCACCACCACCACTCCCTCCGGGGCACCCCGGTCCCCGCAGAGTCCCCGGCCCGCGCCGCCTCCGCCGCGGCCCCCTGGATCCCGAGCCGGTGGGACGCACCGACGGACGGACGGACGGACGGACCCGCAGGCCCCTGCGCTAGCTCTCGGCCGCCGCTGCCCCCCGCGGCCCCGCGTCGGGGAAGCGGGGATGGCCCCCGGAGCCCCGCGAGGGTAAGCACGGCGGGGAGGATTCCGGGCGAGGGTGGGCTAGCGGGGCCGCTCCGTTTCCCCAGTCCCCACCCCCCCGGCAGATCGCGGGGCGGTTTCCCAGGTGAGGAGGGCGCCCGGGCTCGGGGGTGGGGGCGGAGGGGGTCCTGCAGCCGCGCCTGGCCTTGGGGTCCCAGGGTCGCCGCGTCCGCGATCCTCCACCGGGTTCCTTCGTTTGCAACTTGAGACACGAGTCAGCGACCCTGCCCGGGGGACGCGCTTCCCACCGGCCCCGCGGGCTCCCGGCTTTTTTCTCTCTGGGAGGGTCCTCCCCTCCTTCCCCCAAACTGTTCCTTTCTGTAATATGTGGGACCAAGGGGTCCAAGGTCAGGGGAAAGACGGATGTGGTGTTACTCTTATCGTTACGCTGTCGGTATTACTTGCGTTAGTTTTGGCATTATTATTATTATTGCTGCTGCTGTTGTTATTGTTTTATTATTATTATTTCTGTATTATTATTATTATTATTATTATTATTATTATTATTATTCCGCCATCTGTCGTCCCAGGGGCGGGTTGCTGAGCAGGGCTTGCAGCTAGGGACTGCAGATCGCGTCTCCGGTCCCAGGCCGTGTCCGCATTTTCGAGCTCGCCTTCGGTTTTGGGATGATTTTAGGGCCGAGTTCCCTCGTCCCCATTGGCTCGCGCCGCGGCATAATTATGATCACATCCCCCAGGCTGCTGGCGCTGCTCTCTGTTTATTGGTGGTTAAAGATCTATTATCTATTCATCAGCCGCTTCTTTTTTTCCTTTTTTTTTTCTTCTTCTTGCCAATTGCATTCTTCCTAAGTGAAGTACCAGCAGGTATTTTGCACGTTTACAATTAATGAGGGAAAAAATCCGGCATCCTTTAAATCTATCACTTAGAGGTCCGTGCCATTTCTCTTAAGGAGGAAGAAATGCCAGTGTTTGGTGACTAGGTTGCCGTGAGACCCAGGAAAAGTCGATTTGGGAGGGGGAAGAAGAGCAAAGTCCTGAGAGGGAGATGGCTACCACCACCAGCTTCATCAGTGGAGGGTCTGGGTCTTTGCACTTAGCCCCCTGCTTGCCCAACCACCCATCTCCCTGCCCTGGGATCTCCCTTGACCCTCTCTGGTTTCATCTGATGTATTTTTATGTTCACATCAATCTCTTGACTTCTTTATTCCAGGCATAACTTGTTTGGGGGTGGGGAGGGAAAACCCTTCAGGAAAACTCTCCAGGCAAGAGAAGTTAGAAATGTGTCTTCTGGGGTTGTCTGGGCACCTGACCTTAACTAGCAGAGATCATCTGCCGCACTCCCCCCCCACCACCACCACCAATTTTCCCAGAGCATGCACACATGCACACATTCACACACAAGACAGGTGTGGGCCTTGGCTTTGCCCTCATGCCCTGAGAAACCTGACCCTGTCTCAGACTTCAGACCTCTGACGCCAGCTCTGGGTTGGGGTGGTGGCTGGGTTTTCACCCTTACCAGGTTCCTGTGGTTTTGCTTTGCAGCATCCCCCTATCCTTTTCCCCAGGCCCAAGGATGCAGGGTGTTCAGTCCAGCCTCTTGTAATGGGGTGCATTTGGAGATGTACCTGCCTGCCTGTGGCGTGAACCACCGACCTCCTCCAGAAATATCCTCTCCTCCAGAAATATCGTCTCCAGTTCAGAAATCTCTCCCTCAGTTAAGCTGTAGGGACACAAACCCCACCATGCCCAGGCCAGCAGGGAACCTGAAGCCACCTGAAAAGGCGGTTGGCTGTTGCTAGCCAGAAGCCTGGGGGTGGAGGGTAGAGGTCAGCCCTCCATTTCTAAAGCCAGAAAAGGACACCCAATTTAGCTGGGCTTAGATCATGGATCCTGGAACCAGGGGGCAAGGTCCTCCTTCTCCTGGGCAGGCTCTCCAGGAAAGACGAGGGTCCGAACTAGGGGCACTTAGAAGCCCTGCCCTGGCTGCAGGGTGGGGAATGACAATTTATTTCACAGTATTAGTGATCTTGGCTAGGGGCATGAGAGTAGATGACCTTGAGGGCAGAGGGGATCCAGTTAGTGTCTGGGAGGTGGAGTGAGGCCGCTGTGGCGTGTGAAATGTAGGGCATTTGACCTTTTTTAAAAGTCAGAGGCTAGGCGCTCAAGTACTGGTGGTACTCCCTTAAACTCTTTCCTACCTTTGGCTAGAAGCATCCAGAGTGCCGAAGGGAGTGAACCACAGTCTGGAGCCCAGACCCCTCCTCTTCCTGCCGCGGGAGGCAGGAACGTTTAGCCCTGGGGCAAAGGGCCCAGATTGCTTGGAGCCTCCTCTCTGGTCACGGTCACGGAATATCCTCTGCAGCCACCCGCCTCTTGCAAAGTGCCCAGAGATTTGCCTCAGGGTCTCTTGTGGCTGGCAGGTGGGCAAGGGTGGAGGAGCAGCAGGGTCCGTTTCCTCTGGCCCAAGTGCTGGGGGCCCCAAGTCTCACTCAGGCCCACAGGAGGGACAAATGAGTTTGAGCCTCCTAGAAGCTGGGGAAGCCAGATAATCTATGCTAATTCATGCGGCCAGAGACCTGAGGAACTCAGGAAGGTTCGAAAGGCGGCCCCGACATACAGGAGAATTAAGGAGGACAGTAACTCATTAACCAAGACCAGTGGGAGAGGCTCAACAGGGCACTGGACACTCTGATCTGGACTCGGACCCTGGGCCAACTCTACCCCTGCTCCTTGCACCGTGCGGCTGCCACTTACTTTCCTCGCCACTTACTTTCCTGGAGGCTTAGGCCTTTGCAGAATCCGGCCCCTCTTTGTTCCCTAGCTGCCCTAGCAGGATGGGTGTTTGGTGAGGTATTGGAGTATGCAGTGAGCCATGAGGGGATTTCTGAGGCTCCCTCTTAGGGCAAGGGGCTCTTTTTCGTACATGCCCCAAACCACCTCAAGTGGGACTCTGTAGATTCAGGAATCTCCACTAAACAGGCAGTGGGACTAAGAGACACAAGATGAAGGTTCAAATCTGAGATGTGTCACTTACTGTCTGATGAGGGATCTGGGGCAGACACCCAACCTCTCCAGACCTCCATCTTGTCATCTGTAAAAATATGGCCAATGCTGCCCCCAAGACAGTGGAGCGTAGAAGTCAGGCTTGTTTTGAAGAGTGATAGAACCCTTCTATTTCTTGATGATGGTGGCAATTACAACTCTAGGAGCATTTTCCAAAACTCATAGAGCTCTACACCATGAAGGGTGAATTTCACTAGATGTTAGACCCTAATGAATCTGCCCCACCCCAAAACAGCAGTCAGATCTGGGTGACCTTGAGCAAATTACCTGACCTCTCTGTGCCTTTCTCTCCTGTGAACTGGAGATAAATAATAGTATCTTGGCCCTTGGGGTTGTTTAAGGAGATAAGCCAAGCAAAGTGCTTACTTAGGCTGTGATTAGCACATCATGAGCTGTAATAAAAGTTAGCTCCTGTTCCTGCGTTGCTGTTATTATTACCTGCCACCTCCAGGGCTTGTTCCTGGGCTTCAAAACTGAACAATATAGTTGTGCAAGCATAAGCCATTGCTGGTCTCACACTCCTGCCACTAGCTTCTCCATGCTCCCCCAAAAGGCCAAGGACTTCCCTGGGCTGGTGCTGAGGTGAGAGAAGCCTGGATTCCTGGCTAGTGGGAGGTATCAAAGGGCAGAAATGTGTGTGTGTGGAGAGGGGAATCTCCCATAGCTCTCTGCTCTGAGTTTCCTCCCTGGGGTGCATTCACCGCCTCCTGCAATTCAGGATAGATGCCCAGGTGCTGCCTGGGATCACTACATTTGCGACCACCTTCTAGACTCTCGGTTTTCTTATCCGTGAATAGGAGATAGCATTATCCTAACAGTTGTTGAGGGGTAAGTGAGTTAATGTTTGGCATAGTCACCGTTCATCAAATATTATTGTTAGGCCACGGCTTGGGGTGGTCCAGGCGGCCTCGTGCACCCCAGCGATGTCCAGGGCCCTCCCTGGGAGCCAGTAGGGGGTCCGTGAGCCCTCCAGGAAGCAGGGGAAGCATGAACGTCGGAGAAGGGTGAGCCCCTTCCCGGGAGAGCCCCTTCCTGGGCCCAACACAAGCAAAAGGTACCTGGGGATGGTCAGGGCCTCGGGGCTCCGTTAACAACTCCTCCCACCCACCGTGATTCCCAGCAACCCGGCCTCTTCGAACGCGCAGGGAGAGGGTGGGAAGAGGAAAAGAATTCATACCTTTAAAAACATGTTTTTTAAAAATTGTTATTAGAGCAAAATCCCTCCCTGGCGTCCTCCCCGAGGCAGCTCCCTGGGCCGGGATCCGCGTGCGCGCAGCGGCGCCTAGTGGCGAGGGCCGGAGCGGGCTGCATAGCCGCGGCGCCCTGAGCCCCGCGCGCCCTGGGGAGTGCTGGGGTGCGCCCCACTGCCAAGCTCCTGCGGGGCCCGCCATCAGGGCCGGGAGAGGCGGTCTATGGAGGCTCACTGACTACACAGTAGAGAGGACGACTTGGAAATGGGTCCCTCCTCCCTCCATCAGCTCCAGCTCTTGGAATCCCAGCTCCTGGAGGAGTCGGGCTTCTTTCCGAAGAGTGCAAGGAAGGGGGAACCGGTTCAGTTCTCAAAAGGACCAGGCGGGCCGTGATCACCTGGGCCAGGGCGATGGCCAACTACTGCGCAAATGCACCCACAAACCCGTGCCTGAGGTCCCAGATCCCGCCGCCCAACCGCGGTGGTTCAGAGAATGGACCCCTGTTCCCCAGCGCTGGCCCCACGCGGGGTGGAGTCGGAGGAGCTAGGGGCGCGGGGCGCGGCTCTTCCGGCTTCGCGCCCCCTCGTGGGCGGCCAATGATCGCTCGAGACTGGGGTCCTGGTGATTATTGCCGAGGCGGCGATTGGTCATCAGAAGAAATTAGGTGGCCCCGCCACCGCGGGCCGGGTGACAGGCTCCTTCTTCTCGGAGCCCGCGGACCTGCTCTTGTCTCCGGGGCAGGCTAGCCTCTCCGGTGAGGTGAAGCCGTGG